CTAAGAAATCCAAGAGGCCGCTGGGGCCACAGCATGCCACTAAGTTATCCAATGTACCTTAAGGCAGGGTTCCTCAACCTTGGCAATTTTAAGACAGGTGGACTTCAACTTGAATTGAAGTCCACCCGTCTTAAAGTTGCCAAGGTTGAGGAATCCTGCCTTAAGGGCACCAGGTCCAGGGAAGTTATTAATCCAAGCAAACTACTTAAGCATATTTGATGTAAAGCTGTAGAGGATTGGAAGCAAGAACCAGGATCTTTCAAGACAACCAAATGACTTGTCTTTCAGCTATTCTTAGAAGCTAAATAAAGTCTCCCTCGAATTGAGCTCAACGCCTAGTGATGACACGGACACATTTGTGTAATTTTCTTGACAACAGTTCAGAAATGAATTGCCATTGCCTTCTTATGGGATATTTTTCAATTTCCCAATCTAGCACGCTGTCCTGGAATTTCCTGGTGTCTTTCAATTCAAGTAATAATCAGGTCTGACTCTGGTTTTTTTTAAATCAACCAAGGTCAGCTAGATACGCTAAAACCCTTCTGGTCTTGAGGACTAGCGTTTTGCCTGTTTTAAAGTGTCCCATGGCTTTTCAGTCATTCTAGCAGCCTTTACAATGAAGGATACTTATATCCTTCTAGCTGACCTTGGTTGATTTAAAAGAATATATATTCTGAACTTCTGAATGCCATGTTGCTGTCTTCTCAGGTAGTATCTATCTACCCAACATGATCTGCAGATGCCCACCCCAAGAGAAACCAAGGGAATTGTCAGTGGCAGCCCCCTCACTCAGAACAACTCAGCCTCTGAAGTTAGGCTGAGCTCCATCCTTTCATCTTTTAGGAAACAGGTGAAAGCCTTCCTCTTGCACAGGCTTTTGGGAGAGTGAGATTTATGTTTTCATGTCACTTCAGTTGCCTGAGTTCTATGAAAGATAACAGCATTTTTTTTAAGATTAAAGTTTTTAATATTTTGGATTTAATGGATTTGTAATGCACCGTTGCAAGTCTGAGTTGTTCAGGTAGGCAGCATACAAATAATTGTAATTAATAAATGCATTTCTAGAAACAGCCTCTTCCATCCAGCAGCATCTGGGGGTGGGGTGGGGGGCAGAATGATGAAACCAGTGTTACGCTGCCATGACACAACCCCCATTCATTGTGTATGTGCGTTGGGATAACACACTCATGCCCCAAAGGGGTGGAGCTTGTGGTGCAACAGCACAGGGCTGCTTTTGGCATTTTGATGAAAGCAGGAAGCTTCTTCAGGCACAGGCGTCCTTTCCTCCCTGCACTATGACAGCTCCTCAATACAGTGCCTGTTCCGTTAACTCTATGGGCTTTCTCCACTGTACAGAGATTTTTTGCCATGGCAGTTCCATGTATGATTAAATAATGCAATACAATCTACATCTAACACATGACATATCTTAAGATATTTACAGGCTCTAAAACAAGATAATGGAGATATTTATTAAGGGATTTTTCATGTTAAATTGTTTGTTTTGCCCACATCCTTCAGGATCTTTGTCGCTCATTAGGAATTCTGTAGACTAAGGAGTTAAGTCCTGGCAGAAAGTTGTTGAAACATCTTGAGTTTGTTTGATGCTAATCTGGAAATGCTGAGATTTTCCTAATTCTCAACAAATTTTGGTCCCCCTCAATAACATATGTGGTAAAATGTTACAGCCATGTGTAGAAAAGAAGTTTTAGCAGGCTTATTTTTTCCATAGTTAAGCCCATTGTTATCCTCCAAATTGTAATCTTATCATGTATACAAGCTGTTCCATATAAATAGCCCATGTATATTTTCAGTAGTTTCAGCTGAAACCCGTTAAGAGCAGATGTGCCTACGGTTTCCTGGCAAGGCCTCCTCTAAAAAGTATTTTTCCGTTAGCCGCATTCCCCCATCCGATCCCAACCCTTTTCCTTTCTGTTCTGGGAAGGAGTGGGGGAGAAGAAAGGAGGGAAAGAGTTTCATTCATCATTAGAATGATTCTTAAATGTTTTTTGAAGCTGGCTTGATTTATGACACTTGGGTATTGGCCTTTAAGAACTTTCAGTGCTGGACAAAAGATACCTAGAAATTTGCTAATTTCTCCACCTTTCCCTTTCATGCTGCAATCCCAGTACTCAAGGACAAAAGAGATGTCATGCAAAGGAGATCATTGATCAAATCTGCTGCTTAAAGATTTGGTTCATTTTATTGAGGCAGTATTGTTCTCCTTTCCTCCCCCCACCTGCACCCCTCTGCAGAGCTATTAGATCCAGCGAAGAAAAATTGTCATATTTCACATACCATAATTAGCTATAGTTTGTTTTAATCGTATTGTACAAGCCAGAGTCATGCCTTGTTTGGTCAATCCTGGTTAGTTTTCTTTCTTTTTAAAACTACTCTTGCCCTGCATCTTTGCAGATTGGTTAAAGGATTAGGAGAGACACAGAAACCAGCAACAAGACAGGAAATTACACCACAATAAGCCAAGTTTGCACTTAGTATGTGCAAACCAAACCATGATTTCAAACTCTGGCTTGCTATCAAAACCAAGCCAACGTTTGTTTATTGAGTACATTATCATACTATGCTACGCTGAAAGAGACAAACCATGTTAGATTTTAGCACGGTATATGAACTTAGCCAATAGAGATACAAAGTTGTTAACATGTTTTCTTCACTGTAAACTAAGGATTTATTTTGTACTGTCTTAGTGTTAACTCTACAACATGGCTTATAAACCTAATCCACAAAACAAAACAGTTTAAACCCCTCCTTTCTCTACAAAGAATGCTCCATATGGCAAGGCTTACAGCAGGGTTCCTTAGCCTTGGCAGCTTTCAGATCGGTGGACTTCAACTCCCAGAATTCTGAGAGTTGAAGTCCACCCATCTGAAGGCTGCCAAGGTTGAGGAACCCTGGCTTAGAGCAACAGTTCTGGCTTGTTCTCTTATTCTTACATCCAATGGCAGTTTGAGGGAGGGGGCATTTCATATTAGAAGTGTGACTGCAATGGGGCTGACTCCTTGGGGAGGAGGGTGTAAACAAAGAGTAAAGGACTTAGTCTATGTTCTCTCTGCTTTGCTTCCCCTCTGCTTCCTTTTTGTCTATGAGATTGTTACCTCCGGGTCTTCTTTCTTGCCTATGTCCCCTGGAGAGGGATGTAAACCACGCATACCCATGGAGCCTTTTGCTATCCTGGTGATAGGATTTATCTTGCTAGGTACGAGATGTCGCTTATCTTCTCTATGTATATAGAAATCTGCTCCATGAATCCTTAGGCAATTGCTACCCCCATGAACACTCTTTCTTCTCTCTCTGTCACACACACAAACACACAGCAAAATGGCTGAGACTTCTAGAAACAGAAATCCGGTTTTGGTGGAGGCAGAAAGTTGGTGGTCTAGGTACCTGTGCAAAACAGACATGACGCAGCTTGTTCTTGAGAGGCACACTTGATTGCACAGTTAGGTGGTTGTATTTAGTAAGTGAACTGGCTGTTAGTAAACCCTTAAAGTGTGAGTTGTTCTGCTAAATGACAGTGGTACAGATCAATGACATTTGGATTTATAAGCATTTTTTTGTCATAACCTTTCTTTCCTTTTCTATTTTTAATTCCAGGTTTTCTAGATGACACACAGACCCATTTCCTTCTCTTGCATCATGCAGCCTCTAAAGCAGTGTTTCTCAACCTTAGCAATTTTAAGATGTGTGGACTTCAACTCCCAGAATTCTCCAGCCAGCATGCTGAAGTCCACACATCTTAAAGTTGTTAAGGTTGAGAAACACTGTTCTAAAGTATATGCTTTCACCTAGAACAAATGACTCCTTTTTTCACTGCTTGAGAACAGATGATATTTCAAAAGAGGTACTTCTCTATGTCTAAAAATATAATAAAGTGTGCAGAGATACATATGAGTGCAGTAATGTTGGGAACATAACAGAGGTGCTTTTCCTCATTCAAAAAACCCAGAAGGTGTGTCAATCAGCAATGAACCTGGGTCTAATTGCTCCCAAGGAAATGGCTGATCCTATTACTAATGGTACAATTTCAGTTGTGTTCTAATGTAATAGAATGAGGCC